CCCTGCGCGGATACATAATTATCTCCACAGATGCGGATATCCATGGATCTAAAGCAGATACCACAGACTTGCAGGGCTCTAGTGACAACGAGCGAGACAGGCGCACATGCTCCCGGTCAGGAGACATCGCTTGCACACACTAGTGTGACCAGAGACACAGGCATCTCCCTGACACAAACACCTGCTCCCTGCCACATTTCAAGTTCCTGCTCCAAAGGGGGGCACCAGAGCTTTTCAAAAAAAAGCTCACCCGATTTTTTGAACAGGAGCAAAACAACATATTTTTTCCGTAGCCTTGTTCTTGGACATAGCTGAAGTGTTTTGCTTGACATTTTCCAAATAGTTCAGCTTGGGGCAGACAACCCGTGTGGAAAACTGTCCATCCAAATGGTTAAAGCCTGGCAAAGTTATAAGCAACAGAAACCAGAGTCTTATAATGGGAAGCATTGGCAGCCTTAATGCTAGGCAGTGATACCAGCCTGCCTGTAAGAGACCAGTCCAGTTCTAATGGTCTATATTTGTTATTCTTGGCTCTGACATCACAGATCTCATGCTGAGAGTCTCTACCTAACTAGCAGAGTTTAGTGAAATAAGAAATACAGGGATTGAAAATTGGTAAAAGGTGAACTGCAAAAATTAAAACGGCTTTAGGCTTTGATTTCTGGTCTGAATGTCTCCACTCAGCAGAGGTTAACAAGCTAACTAACCAACCCCCCTTTCCCCCATTCTATGAAATCCTTTGGTAGGTTGTGGTTTAATGAAAGTATCCCACAATGAGACACCACAAATATCAAATGTCTCATTGTGATCCATAGATGGATTCCATGCTGTTGTCACTGAGAGATGTATGCTGGGATACTTTCAGTGCACCAGGAAGAACCAAAAGGATTTCCCAGAGGCGGAATTGTTTTTAAGGAGGTTCATTAAAACTTAGTTTTTCCTCATATCCGTGCTCGAGGCCCTCTTTTGACAGGCACAGAAATATGGGATTCACTCCATTTTAATTTTTCTTTTGTAGTTTTACATATGAGACCATCAACAAAGTCTGGATCCAGAGCCAGATTTGAGCATTCCCAGAAGTTGCAGGTGTTTGGCACTTCTCTGCTTTAGCAGCTAATCTAAGATACAAGACATTTTTGGAGAGCTTTGTAAAATGGAGAAGAAACTGGCCCAGCTGATAGTGCTTACAAATCAGGAAAAGATAAAGATGAACTACAAATCAAGGCTGAAACTAGCACAGAGTTGAACGTGACATAACTGAAACACTGTATCTATATTACTTCTCATCATTACTTGATGCAATCAAGGGATTTTAGCTACAAAACAACCACCATATTGAAGTGTCTCTACGGTTACGGAAATCTATCTGAAAATAGCCCTGAAGTCAGATCTTCTTCTAAACAGTGCAGCCTAGGGACCTGGCCTCAGCTCAGTAGTGTTCATTTCAGGGAACATATCATACACTTGATTTGCAAAGCATGGATCAAAAGTCTTGCACCATAGATTTAATACAACTTCAGGATTTGCCCCTTAGAGCTAAAGCTCAACCAAAAAATGTTTTTCTGCAGGAAATTCCAATATTTCAACCTTTGTTTTCATCCTGAAAGGTTGAAATATAATTTTTTTTCACAAAATGAAAAAGTTCAGAAAAATGTTGATTAGGAAAAGTCAAAATGTTTCACTTCGAGTCAGTTCAACATTAAACTGTATCTGCCTGTGGTGCTGGAGTGCATCCTGGGAGTTGTAGTTCAGTGGCCTTAGGCCCTCATTTTCCCCTGTGGACCGGGATCCCTGGCTAGCCTGTCTCTCCCATGATACAACTGCAGCCATGTGTCCCAGCAGAGGGAAGACAACAGTGGATCATGGGAGATATAGTCTGGCCAAGGAGCCTGGCCTTTGGGATAAAATGGAGGCATGAAACACTAGGGTTACCATATTTCCACAATCAAAAAAGAGGACACTGGGGGGGGGGAGCCCTTCCCTAGCCCCGCCCCCATCCACTCCCTCCCACTTCCCACCCCCTCAGAGCCCCCAACCCCCCCTGCTTCTTGTCCCCTGACTGCCCCCTCCTGAGAACCCCCCCCACCCTAACTGTCCCCCTAGGACCCTACCTGTCCCCTGACTGCCCCGACCCTTATCCACTCGCATGGGTGTCAGGTTTGTAGAAATTTTGGTGGTGCCCAGAACCTGACCCCCCGACCTGCCTAAGGCTCTGGGAGGGGGTTGGGTGGGGGGAGGAGGTCTGGGGTACAGGTCCTGGGCTGGGTATTAGGGTTCAGGAGGAGTGCAGTGTGCAGGGATAGAGTTTGGGTGCTGGGTGCAGGCTCCGGGCTGGGGCAGGGGGTGGGTGTGCAGGAGGGGATGAGGGGTGCAGGCTCTGGGATGGAGTTTGGGGGTGGGAGGCAGTGCAAAGGGAGGGGGTGCAAGCTTTGGGAGGGAATTTGAAGGCAGGAGGGTGTGTGTGGGAAGGGGAGGGGGTTTGGGAGGGAGTTTGGGAATAGGAGGAGGTGCAGGGGTGAGGGCTGTGGATGAGGGGTTCATGATGCAGGAGGGGGCTCAGGGCTGGGGCAGAGCATTAGGATGTGGGGAGATGAGGGCTGGGGCTGGGGATGAGGGGTTTGGGGTGTTGGAGAGGCTCAGGGCTAGGGTGGAAGGGCAGGGTAAGGGCAGCCTGTCTTGCCATTAGTGGATGGGGGGGCACTAGGACCCTGGGACAGCAGACAGCAGTTGCTGCCGGGAGGGCGTAGGAATGTGGGCAGCACAAGCAGGCACAGGAGAGGCGGGGGGGGATGCACGGAGGGGGGTGGCAGGTGGAGGCCAGGGACCCATCCAACCCTCCCGCTCCCTGACTGCCCCCTGGGACTCCCCTTACCATGCCCATGCCGGTCAAATGCTAGCTCCACGTCTAGGCAAAACAAGCTCCCGGTGGGGCGGTTTCTGTCATTACACCGGGCTGCAGGCAGCAGGGTGGAGCAGGAGAGGGGCTCTGGCTGCTGGAGGCCAAGGGGAGCGGCTCAATCAGGCCCAGCCGCCCAATGAGCCGTGCCGCATTCTGCATGGAAGGGAGGGAGGGAGGAGAGGGGGGGAAATCCCAGACCTTTTAACCTTGTTACCAATTCCTCCCGGACGGCTATTTAAAGACGCAAAAGCTGGACATGTCCGGGGAAATACGGATGGATGGTAACCCTAGAAACACCCAAAGTACAACTTCCACGAGACAGCATGTCACCAAAGATAGATGCAGGTTAATAGCAAACTGACTTGAAATGAAATGTTACTGTTCAGTTCAACAAACTGAAATATTTTCATTTGGGTTGAATTGACCTGAAACAAAAGATTTGATTTAGATTTTCCCCAACGGAAAATCAAAAAAATTCATCCACAGCTTGATTTAAAGAGCCCGGATATTTAAAGGCCCCGCCCCTTCTGGTTGAGGCCACACCCCCTGCTGAAGACTCCAACGTACCGGTAAGTCCTTTAAGTTACTTTCACCCCTAGGTCCAGACATTCTCAGTGCAGTGAGCAGGCCCAGGGAAGCACTTGTAGAGGGGAGAGCTGGCCTGGACCACGCCTGTGCAGAGGAATTCATCGGCCCCTGGCCTGGCTGGGGAACTGTGAGCTGCCTTGGGAAGCCATGCAGGCCCATGTGAAGGCCTCTCCATTGTAACTAGGGTGGAAGCACCTGGCTTCCTCAGCCTCAGGGGGCCGTGTTTCTCAGGTAATTGCTAGGGACTCTACTGCTTTCTGGGATACAGGAGGGGCCAAAAGAGAAGAGATTAGGAGGAATAGGATTTAGGTCCCTAAATAATCACCCCCGGGTGGGAATTCTGGCCCAAATGAATCTGTTTCAATGGCCTGGCAGTGACATGTCCCTAGTTAGACCAGGAGCGACTGATGGTGCCACAACAATGCCACTCCTCTCCCAGGGCTTTCCCGGGGATACGTCTGTGAATTCTCCCCTGGCAGGGGCAGCAGCAGGCCATCAAAGAGCAGCAGGAAGGCTTACCCCAGTGAATGGCAGCAAAGCACAGGAGTCGGGTGACATTCCAGCCACATCCCCAAGCCCTTGGACTGGAGCAGAGTCCTCCGGCGCTGCCCTGGGGGTCAGAAAAACATGTCCATAAACCCCTCTGTGCTTCACAGCAGGCAGGTCCAAGCATATTTACACACTGAGCTGAAACAGACACTTGGAGACACCTGGCTGACACAGACACTATCTCTGATTAGTTCCTATTTACCATGCAGATAAAATGCAGAATCTCAGAGGGAAGAGCTGCCGGCCTCCACAGGGGAAGAAGGAACCGTTGGAATTTAAGGCAAGTGATTCGATTTAGCAACATCATCTCCACAACAGGTTGTTAATGAACGTCCTGGAGAACGTGAGTATGAGTGTGAGATGTTGTCGGTCAGTGTCATGAGTTCAGCTCAGAGGATGGAGGCAGTTTTTGTCCATAAATCAGATAAACAGCTGAGCAGCTCAGTCAGTCGGAGCAATATTCCAGTGTAATAGAGTTATATTAGAATTAGAAACAATGGGAACCATCCCTGGGTCTAAACCGGAAATGCTGCAAGCTGCGCCAGCAGCCCCCTCCTCTCCCTGGGCTTCAGAGGGCAGGATCCTGCCCCAGCCCGAATGTTTACACAGCTGTGTGTAGGGCCATAGTGTGAGCTCTGCGAACCTGGGCTGGGAGACGCACTGCTGTGGGTGTAAAGCACAGTGCAGATGTACCCTCTGGCATCTTACCAACAGGGGCTGAGCCCAGCCTTGCCAGAGATCTGGGGGAAAGGAGGGGTGTGGTCTGAACCAGTGAAGCTAGGCTGGTGGTGTGGCAAGGCCTGGCTGCTCCTCTCATCCGGGTCTCAGCTTCCCAGGGGTGGCTGGCTGGCTCCCCAAGCAGCCTCCCAGGCCGGAGAGGCTCCATGCTGTCTTTTGGCTGGCAGGGAGGCTTTGAATGAGGCTGTCTCTGGTAGCCCATCTCCACTTTCCCAACCAATCCTCATGCTGGGGTTGCTGCTATTCCACCGCCCGTGCGCCAGCTCTTCCCAGTGACACCCACAAAGCCGGCTGTACCAGCCACCTGGCTGGAATTGGGGGGCACAGGGAGCCATTGGCTAGCATTCAGTAAAGTCATTAGTGTAGGAGCTCTGCAGGGAAGGCAGAAAGGAAGGGAAGGGGAAAGCGGGGAAGAGCCCCCCCCCATGTGTTTTTTAACCTTTAGCTCTGCTTCCCAGGTCGGGATCTCGAGCTGATATGCAGGAGATATTCATGGGTTTGCTGGGAGAGAGAGCCTCCCAGCTCAGGTGACTGAGGGAAATCCCAATTGCACAGCATGGGGGTGGGGGGGCTGTCCTTATCGGCTCAGGGCTGGGCTGTGGGGTGGGGAGGGGTTCTCTCCCTGGCCACTCAGGGCTGGGCAATGGGGGGTTCTCCCTGAGCATTCAGGGCTGACCAGTGGGGGGAGGGGCTCTCCATGGCAAGTCAGGACTGTGCAGCAGAGGGGGCTCCCCTGGCAGCTCAGGGCTGGGGGAGGGGTTCATGAGGGGGCTCGCCTCAGTTCAGATGGGCAGCAGGGGGGCTCCCTTGGCAACTCAGGGCGGGGCAGTGGCAGGGGGGCTCTCCCTGGGCAGCTCAGGGCTGGGGGAGGGGTT